GGTTAGCAGCTTGTTGTTCCTGGCTTTTCCAACCAAGCGCCATGGAATTGGCACCCCCGTCTCCCAAGAATGAATGAACTAAAAGTGGCTTTCCATTCTTTTTTAATGGCGGTTGGTTTGTGTTTTCTCCGACCTTTTGACATAAAATTGTCACCTTATTTTGTATACGAAAATGTCAATCAACTATTTTCTACTAGCTTCTATTGATCTATTCAATATTAGCATCTATTACCACGATTAACAAATTATCAAGTTGAGACCGGTCAAAATTAGAGCCTTTGGCCAGGAATTACGTATTAGAGCATAATACCCAACAGAAACTATCGATCATGGTTATGTAAGTTTTTAATGGAAGAACGTACAACATGGTAATGGTAGTATAAAACAAATTGTTTTTGGTTGAAAAACGAACGAAAGTGAGGAGCTTAAACGCATATTATTAATCATTAAAGGTGTGCAAACTCCGATAATGTATTGGTTATAAAGTAAGCTCAACATGAGCAATTTAAACTTTTCTAGGAGAATCAAATGCCCTTTACTATTTAGTTACTCATAATACATTCACCGCCTCAAAAGCAATATAATACCCCGATTATCCATTAAACAAAAATTTTAAAGTCAACTACCAAATGCATATTTCTCCAACATATTCTAATCATCACAAGGTATCGACTCTTATGTAGTCGATTTTCATGAAGCGTCAAAGCAAAATGATCACTTACCAAACCATCATAGACATACTTCAATCGTCTTCCAACCTTGGCTTAACTTCAACTGAATAGTTATATACATGCATCATGTTGAATGGAGATGTAAATGTAGTTACTTGTTTGAGTTTGGGTGCATAACCATTAGTTAGCTTATGCTTAATCACCAAGGAAGGTTGCTTGATAGCAAAAAAAAAATATTATTTTGTGTGTTAATATAATTATTTCATTGTACATTTGATGTCTATATTGCTTAATGATGGTCTATTGACACTGGAATGACTTGAGGGCAATATCATTATGTTTTAGCAATTTCATGCAATTTATAGACAAGTTAGTGGAGAGGCATCGACAAAAAAAAAACTTGAGTTGGATCAGGACCAGTTCGAATAAAATCGGTTGGGCCCAGTTACTTTTACTCGGATCAACACATTTCAAATTTCCCGCATCGAGATTCGAGAGTAAAAGTAGTAAGGACATTTTTGTCTTCATAACTACTTATTTCTTTGTTATTTATTTATAAAAAATCTATACATGTGGGGATTTGAACCATGATCACTTTTAAGTGAGGGAAAGGCTACAACCAATCACGCTACACATATTTGTTATATGTTTTAAAAGAAAAAAAATACACAAACCTAAAATCTCAAAAATCAAAAGACATTTTCAGCGGTTAGCTAGCAACTAAATCTCTCATAAGTACTTATTTGGTGATTTGATACTTCGACTTTCATATTTTTTTATTATTTTAATTATATTTTAATACTTAATTTATATTTCAATGTATATTATAAACAGATGATAACTTTAAAATTGAAACTCATATATCAGTTGAAGAAATCATATCCTTATGCATACTATATGTGACTGTTTTTTTAACGTTTTAGCCGGGTTAACTACTAAGCTTTCAACATGTTCCTAATCTGGCATGATTAGATCCAATGATCACTGTACGAGATTGAGCTTCATTATTGATTCATTTCACCATTTTTTGACTTGTTAATGAATTTCTAGGGCAATCACTTATGTCTACGTCTAAACACAATGCAATATATAAGACTGGGATGAGAAAAGTATTTTCCCGTTTGAAATTCATACAACAAGAGCGAAAGTATGAATCATATATTTGCCTTCACAATTATTAAACTTATTTATTTGTAGGAAATAAACAAGTATTGGAATTTGAACCAATGTATCTTCTAAAAAAGACAAGAATCATAAGCCTGATTGTCAACCCAAGTTTGACATGGTTGGGCGAGTCAGTTTTTCCCAAACCCGAGTATTTGTTAGGATGTTGGAGGCCCAGTTGGTTATCAACCCAAACTTGGTCAAACTAAGAAAACCAGTTGAATTTGGAAATCGAGTTGATTCAACTAACTCATCTAAGCACTGAGTCACTTCAAACCGACATCATTTTCAACAAATCTAATCACGGCCATGCTCAGCTTATCCGTCCTCCATCCTGCAAGCCGATTGTTCACCTTATCAATAAGTTCATTATAAGTTTCCTTTGACACCCGATCATGAATGACCGATACTCCCAAATAGCGCCCGAGGTTCGCCGTTTGTGGTATTGCTAGCTCTTCACTTAATTCTGCTTTCTTTTCTGCAGCTACATTCGCCGAGAAGAACACCCTTGACTTCGGTTTGCTGATTCTCTGACCCGAAGCGGCTCCGAAGGTATCGAAGCATTGTAGGATCGCTTGGGCCTGCTGGGAAGAAGCCTCTCCAAATAGGATTAAATCGTCTGCAAAAAATAAGTGAGAGAGAGCTGGCCCTACCCCGGTCAGCCTTATTGGCTGCCATGCTCCAGCCTCAATAGAGTTATTGATCAAATGGCTCAAACGTTCCATACACAGAGTAAAGATATAGGGCAAGAGAGGACAACCCTGTCTGAGGCCCCGTGACGGTGAGAACGAGCTCGTAAGACCACCGTTCCATTGTATCTCCATCGAAGCTGAGGTGATGCACGCCATTATAACTTCAATCAACTTGGCTGGTGCTCCGGTTGCCTCCAGCGTGTCTCTTACAAACTCCCAACGGATGCAGTCGTATGCCTTGGCGAGGTCGATTTTAAGCACCATCCACCCTCGCCTACCCTTTTTTTGCTCTCATGGAGTGTACCACTTCCTGGAGGATACAGTTATTATCCGTAATGTGTCGCCCCGGTACAAAGCTTGTCTGAGTCTCATGAACCAAATCCGGCATAAGAGGTTTTAGTCTCTCTGCTATACACTTCGTGAGTGACTTGTACACCACATTGCAGAGGCTTATAGGCCGAAATTGGTCTATAGTGGTAGGCGTGGAGACTTACGGGATGAGGACTAGGACGATGGAATTAATTTCCTTTATCCTATCCGACCACTCCCAGCAATCCTCGATCATCTTAGCTAGACTGCTCCCCATCGTTTCCCAGCATCTCTAGAAAAACAGAGGGTTAAGACCATCTTTTCCGGGCTCCTTAAGAGCACCCATGGCCTTTATCGCAGACCACACTTCTTCAGCATTGGGTTTAACCGCAAGCTGCTACCACTTCTCTTCTCCAAGATCCGGGAAATTTCTATACAGCAAATCCTTTTCCTCATTATCATCCGTATACAGCGCTTGGAAGTAGAGGATTGCTATATGCTTTAGCCCCTCGGGATCATCCACCCACTCACCCTCATTATTTTTAAGCGCCAGTATCAGATTCCTCTTCCGTCGCTTCAACGTTCTTGCATGGAAATGAGCGGTGTTCCGGTCGCCCGATGCAATCCACTCTAGCCGCGATTTCTGGTACCATAAGAGTTCCTCTTGGAACAAGATGGTCTCGAGCTCCTCTCGAGTGGCTTCCAGCTGGGGTGACACTGATAACCGCCCATCTCTTTTCTCTAACTCCTCTAACTTCCTCAGCAAGGCGTCTTTTTCTCGGAGTATGTGGCCAAAAACATGGTGGTTCCAACACATTGCTTCCTTGGCAAACTCCTTCGCTGAACCAGTAAATGAGGTTCCCTTGGCCCATGCTTCCTGGAGCATCGGAGTAAACTCGTCGTAGGTAAGCCATGCAGCCAGGAAACGTAACGGTTTCGGTCCCGTCGGTTGGCACGGCAAATCCGTAGATACCAGTAAAGGTCTATGGTCTGATTTAACACGAGGTAAGTGCCTGACTGAGGCTTCCGGGAACATCGATGTCCACATATTGTTGGCTAGCGCCCGGTCAAGGCGTTCTCGGGTACCATTTCTGAACCACGTAAACGGCGGTCCGCAGTATCCTAGGTTCACCAGGCTGGCATCATTGATACAGTCTTGAAAGTCTTGAATGCGAGAGGCATCAAACGGGGCACCTCCTAGTTTCTCCGAGGGATGCAAGATGGAGTTAAAGTCACCCATGATAACCCAAGCCTGGTCTTGGTCTTCAGCTAACTCTATTAAGGCTTCCCACAGCACCCGACGTTGCATGGGGGCAGGGTTTGCATAAACCGCTGTGATTATCCACTTCGGCCCTGATACACCTGCTGGCCCCACCTTCATATGAATGAACTGAGCGTGAGCGTCAACTTGGGAAAGACAAATATCCGTGGAATTCCACAGCACCCAAATTCCTCCTGAGAACCCCACCGCCTCAACTACAAGCTCTTTATCGAAACCCAAACTCTGCCTGACATCCTTAGCACTGTCACCACTAATCCGTGGCTCCACAATAATCACAATGTGAGGTCGATGCCTTCTTTTGTACTCATTGAACACTCTAGTAAAGCGTCTACTTCCCGCACCCTGGAAATTCCAAACAAAAACTTTGTAATTCATTAAAATAGAATGGGGTTGAGTTGGCTTCCTTGGAAAATCTCAGGACGGGGAAATCCCATCCTTGGCTGTCTCCATATTATGTTTCGCGTGGAGCCGGTTCACAGCTGCTTTGGTTTGGCCCCGCAAGTCTTCCCCTCTGGTGAGAGTCCCAACCTCCTCATCTGGTGGATTCCGTTTAGGGTCTAACACCATCTCTCCCATCCCTCGGTGGTACGTACTCTGCATGGGCCGCTGGACCCGGTGGGTGACTCACTTCATGGTCTAGCGGGCAGGAGGGTTGGGTTTGGAGATTGGAAAGTTGTTTGCTTTCCCGAGAAGGTGAAATCTTTCTCCCCACTGCTCACTTGATCCTTATATTGGTGACCTAACCTATGCACACTGGTATTTTGCTTCTCGATCGCCTAGGTTGGCCCTCTTAGAACTGCCTTCATATTCGAACCGGCGGACTGCCTTGGCGCTCCCTCTTTGCTCGTTTCCTGAGCCGTGGGCTTAGTTGCGTTCAACGGGTTAAAATCTTGAGCCAGGGACTTCTTGGCTCGAGCTTAGATCATCCACTAGTTCATCGTCAACTTGCAACACGTTAAACCTTGACCCCTTCGATGCTCCCGGAACTCCCCCAATTGAGTTGGACTGCCCCTTCCCCGACTGTGGGTTGCTGTCTTTTCGGTTCGTTCTATTTCTTTTCTTGCCGATCATCCAGTCTCCATAATGGGTTTCTGGTTCAGCTTGCTTCGGTTTCTCAGGCACACTTCCTTTGTCTGTCTCCATGTCTTCCGGTGGCACTTTGCAAGCACACTTTGTCCTGTCAAAATATCGTCCACATTCCAGGCAAATCTTCTCCAGTCCTTCGTACTGGATGAAGTACTTTACTCCATTGATTTTGAATTTCGACAATAGAGGTTTGGTGAGGTCTACCTGGACACAAACCCGAGCATAATCCAAATGTGCTCCTGTGCTCGTCGCCTGATCCACTCTGATAGGTTTGCCGATTCTTTTCCCAATCTTCATAACAGCTTCCGTATTGAAGTAATGAATTGGTATGTCGAGTAGCCTCGCCCAAACGATGGTGGAAGCTATTTCATGTCTGTATGGGTTGAAGTCTCTGTCCCAAGCGTGAACTGTAAGGTAGTTGTCTCCCATCATCAATGGCCCACCCGTTACCGCTCTCTCATAATCAATGCCGCTTGTAAACCGCACAACATAGTATCCATTTTTGGCTGAAGCGACTTGAATACCGCCTGCTTTCGCCCATATCATGTCGAGGCGCTTGGATATACCCGTGTACGAAGAGGATTTCCCCAGGACTTTGACGAATAGGGCTGATCTCCACTCCCTGCTGTAGCGTCTCTCTTCCGCCGCCGAAAAGTGAACAAGGGGACAGAACGGGTCATCATCCTCCTCCCCAAGCCCTCCCTCCCGGCCATCCTCTAAGATTGCCGCCGTAATATCCTCCGAATCTGAGTCAGCTGTATACCACATATCAAACAGAGGACCTTCCCCAAACAACCGGCGAGCTGCTGTTGCTCCCGTTCCCCAGACTTTCGGCCTAGGACTTTCCGGTTTATGTTTTGTGTCGTTCGTCTCTTGGACATTCTCCGGGATAACGTCCGTATCCTCATACACTGCTGGGATAGTCACCGTTGGCTTGGCTCTCTTCTTACTCTGTTGTGCCTCCTTTTCACCCTTTGGGTTCGGAGAAGAAGTCGCCGACATCGGCCTACGTTGTTGATTCCGTTGCTGGAGAGGCCGCATAGCCCCCCGAGGCCAGCGGCATGGGCACCGCCGGCATGCCTTGAACGAAGGAAAAACCCTAGCGAGCGCCGATGGAAAAATCGCCTTCCTACAATCTCGGAGCACCGATCCTATAATTGGGGTTTGAATATTTGAAAGCGGGGATGGGGATGGGGATGTGGAGGGTTTATTATTATTATTATTATTATTATTATTATTATTATTATTACTTGCCACCTATAACATTAAGTAGTGATCACTTGGTTCTTTCTTTTCTGGCTATCCTCTGTTTGTCGCCCAAATTTCAGAATCTTGCTTCCACCATGCATGCTGTGGTGAACAGCTCAAACAATAATCAGCCCTATGGAACTATCTCTCAACCCAGATCATATCTAAGATGAGAGTTGGATTGATGTTGGGAATGGACTAGTTATTGGCTTCAGCAATGAACAAGAGAACCGTGGAAAGAACCAGAAGCGAACGACTCTTAGTATGAGATCTTTGTTGGGAAAATGAATTGGTTGTGATGAGAATCAAAAAGCAATCGAATGTGATTTGCTTCATTTCATTTTGTTTAGCTTTATACACAAATACAGGGGTGACAGGTGAGAGATTTGAGGATAGTGTACAAGGTTGAGGGAGAGTGTACAGGAGACGTGGGAGAGGTATGGATGAAAAACAAATAAAGAAAAAATAAAAAGAATTGTTATTCTTTTTCTTATTTTCCTCTAATACGCCCCCGCAAGATGGAGGAGGTGTCAACGACTCCAATCTTGGACCGAAGAAGAAGAAACCGAGAAGTCGGGAGAGGTTTGGTCAGCATATCGGCGAGTTGTTGTGTTGTGGGGACATAGCGGACAGTGAGGCGGCCAGACTGGACAGTGAGGTGGGCTCAGGCCCAGGCGGAGAAGACAAGGCAGGCAGGGGCCCAGAAGCGGATGTTGAGCGTGAGGGCTCTGTGCAAGGGGATGCCAAAACTGGAGGAGAAGCAGGGGAGGCTGATGTGAGCGAGCCAGCATGAAAGGGAATAGAGGTGATGTTGGGGCCGTTGTCAGTGAGCCACGATGCCACCTCAGAAGAATCTGCAGAGGGGTTAGAAAAATACCCAGGAAACGAATTTTCAACAAAATTGACATGACGGGACAGGAAAATACGTTTTGTGAGAGGGTCAAAACATTTATACGCACTCTGTTGTGAACAGTAGCCAAGGAATAGACAGGGACGAGAGCGAGGAGCAAGTTTATGAGACGAATAGGGACGGAGCCAGGGATAGCACAAGCAACCGAAAATTCGAAGCTTGTGATAATTGGGGACAATGTTAAAGAGTACGGTATATGGTATTTGACCACGTAATGTAGAGGAAGGCATACGATTAATCAAATAGATGGCAGTAGAAAAAGCATAAGACCAAAAGATGGTAGGTAAATTAGCATGATGCAGGAGAGTGATACCCGTTTCAACAAGATGGCGATGTTTACGTTCAGCTAGACCATTATGGTCAGGCGTGTGAGGAGGGGTAAGGAGATGACTAATGCCATGAGTGACCAGGGTGGAGCATAACTTCTGAAATTCCCCACCACCATTAGAATAAATACGACGAATGGTGGTGGAAAAATAATTTTCAACCATCGTGCGAAAGGCAAGAAACATATCAAGCACATCTGGTTTACGTTTTAAGGGATAGTACCAAGTATAACGGGGAAAATGATCAACGATGATTAAATAATAACGAAAACCATCAATGGAGGTGACCGGAGCGGGCCCCCAAACATCCGTATACAATAAATCAAATGGTCTAGTGCTAGAGAGAGAAGAGACAGCAAAAGGGAGTTTGTGACTCTTATTCGAAAGACAAGAATGACAATGAGTACTGACACAGGAGGAAGAGACTAGTAAAGAATTTGTGCGAAGGAGACTGGAAAGTGTTTGGGACGAGGGACGACCGAGACGAGCATGCCACGATGTCGAGGACGTGCGTGTGGTGACAAGAGCGAGGCGGACCATGTTCACATAAGCTGGCAGCTCATAGACATTCCCATTATTTGCTCCTTTCAGCAGTGGCGCCCCCGTGCGAAGATCCTTCACAACAAAACAATCAGCAAAAAATTCCACTGAAATGGGATTAGTACGACAAAGTTTGGCCACCGAGATAAGTTTACGCTTGATGGCAGGAGCACAAAGAACATCTTGTAGTTGTAAATTAGAATTTGGGAGCAGAGAAGACCCAATGTGTGTGATTTTCAAACCTGTGTCATCGCTAATGAGAATTTCATCAGGACCATTGTAGTCCGAATAAAGTGATAAAGCGCCTAGATCATGAGTGACATGATGTGACGCAGCAGAGTCAAGCAGCCAGGGTGCCGATGGAGAGGAACGTGTAACTGTGGAATGATGGGCCTGGGCCTGGCGAGCTTGATAGGCCTGGCGAGCCTGAGGAAAGAGTTTAAAACATTGTCGAACGGTATGGCCAGGACGCTCGCAATATTGACATATAACAGCAGGCCTGCGCTGATTAGTCGAGGAGGCCGAAAACTGCCCAGAAGACAAATCATGGGCTTGAGGGCCTGGAGCCCGTGGGAAGCCTTCATGGGCCCGCTGAGAGGAGGGGGTCTGGGCCCGCTGTGATGAGGACGGCTGCAGAGAGGGATCGTGACGCTGAGGGCGGCTAAATGACGAAGATCCGCCGCCGGACCGCTGCCCCTGGGAGAAGAAGGCGGTAGGTACAGAGGTTTTCATCTGCGCCTTCAAGTCAGATTCATACTCAACCAGGGAATCGACTAAGTCTTCGAGAGCGAGACCTGGTCCCCTCGCACGAACGGCAGCAGCAAAGGAGCCATATTCTTCACCCAAGCCCCGAAGACAGTAGACGACGAGGTCGATGTCAGAGACAGGAGCGCTAATGAGAGCGAGCTCCGCTGCAGTGCTCTTCAAATCATTCACGAAAGATAATATATCACGATCACCCTTGGAAGTCTTGGCCAATTTGCTTTTGAGATAAATGACACGGGATTGAGCGTTGCTGGCGTAGAGCTTCTCAAGAATCAGCCACGCAGCACGCGATGTAGCGGCAGCAGAGATGAACGAGTAGATGGACTCGAAAATTGAGCAGCGCAAGGCGTGAAGGATCAGTTTGTCCTGGCGAAACCACAATTGATACGCTGGATTGGATTTTTCAGCGCTGTTTTCCGTGACTGTGCGAGCATGGGCCGCAGTCGTGTCGTCGATGAAGCCAAACAGGTCGAGGCCAAGGAGTAGCGTTTCAAGCTGAGAGCGCCAGGAGGCGAAGTTGGACAAGGTAAGCTTCAACGGAAGCTGAGCAGCGGGATTGAAGGTCACTATGGCAGGGACCATGGTGGAAGAAGCAGTTTCGAGAACTTCAGAGTCACCGGCCATGGTGGCAGAGAAAAAAAAAATAGAATGATGAAGGGAATAAAGTTCACGAGGGGATATGAATTAGGAGAAAAAAAGAGGGATTGGATCGACAACTAGCTGAGCGTTGCTAGCTCTGATACCATGTTGGGAAAATGAATTGGTTGTGATGAGAATCAAAAAGCAATCGAATGTGATTTGCTTCAGTTCATTCTCTTTAGAGCATCTCCATCAATGCAATTGTAAAAGAAATTGCATTTATGTTTTTTATTGTCAACCCTGTTATAAACGCGCTGCTACGGATCGGGAAATCGCCGAAATCGACAAAGCAAGAATACGAAAGCGAGAATCGAAAGAACACAGACACACGATTTACGTGGTTCACTAACACGATGTGTGTTAGCTACGTCCACGGGCGAGAGAGAGCCAGTTTCACTATATCTGAGGAGATTACAGATTACAGAGGAGTATGAGGAGTATTTATAGTACTTCTCCATGTAGGTCTAAACCTAATCCAATCTAGCAAAGGAAACGGTTACAGACCAGGCCCAGACCCCCGATTACCAGTCGTAGCGGCTGATAGTCCGATTCAAGTCATATCAACAAATCTCCACCTTGACTTGAATCCTCTTCCTCTGAAATCTCTGATGTACTCTGCTCCTTCTCTCTCTCCCGCCATCAATGCCCCGTAGGGCGGAGTCACCCACTCAAGACATTCAGCAAGTCCAAGCAGTGTTGGAACTTGCCATGAGGGACCGGCTTCGTGAACATATCAGCAGGATTATCCGCGGTGCCAACCTTCTTCACCTTAATCCTCTTCTCTGTCCTCAAGAAATGATACCTCACATCGATGTGCTTAGTCCTCTCATGGTGGACTTGATCCTTGGCCAAGCATATTGCACTCAAACTGTCGCAATACACCACTGCCTGATCATGATGTAGACCAAGATCACCAACCAGTCCCTTCAACCATATTCCCTCCTTAGCAGCTTCTGTCAACGCCATATACTCTGCCTCAGTAGTAGACAATGTCACCGCCGACTGCAAAGTTGCCTTCCAGCTCACTACAGAACTCCCAAGAGTGAATACATAACCGGTCATCGATCTCCTCGTGTCAACATCTCCAGCATAGTCCGAGTCAGAAAACCCAGACACCAAGCACTCTGTATCACTTCCGAAGCTAATCCCCACATCAGGTGTACCCTTAAGGTACCGGAAGATCCTCTTCACAGCCTGCCAATGCTCCTTCCCAGGTTGTATCATAAACCTGCTAACAACACTAACAGCATGTGCAAGATCAGGTCTAGTGCATACCATAGCGTACATCAAGCTACCTACTGCACTAGCATATGGGACTCTCGACATGTACTCCTTCTCAGCCTCTGACTGCGGTGCATAAGCCGAGGATAGATGAACATTTGAAGCACTAGGAGTATTTAAGGGCTTTGCTGAAGACATGCCAAACCTCGACAGTATCTTCTGGATGTAGCTCTTCTGTGACAAGAAAAGCTTCTTCTTCGACCTGTCCCTGTAAATCTCCATACCCAAGATCTTCTGAGCAGCTCCCAAATCCTTCATCTCAAACTCAGCACTGAGAAGCCCCTTTAACTTCTGGATATCAGACTTTGACCTCGCAGCTATGAGCATATCATCCACATACAGAACTAGATATATCATCGAACCATCCTCTGCCTTGTTGTGATATACACAACAATCATATGGACTTCTGCTGTAGCCCAGCTCAAGCATGTAACTGTCAAATCTCTTGTACCACTGCCTCGGAGATTGCTTAAGTCCATACAAGGACTTCTTCAGCTTACAAACATAGTCTTCTTTTCCCGGAACCTCGAATCCTTCTGGCTGAGTCATGTAAATTTCTTCCTCCAACTCTCCATGTAGGAAAGCTGTCTTCACGTCTAGCTGCTCGAGCTCCAAGTCATAATGTGCCACTATTGCTAGTAGCACTCTGATCGAAGTATGTCTGACCACTGGTGAGAAAATCTCATTGTAGTCAACTCCTTCCCTCTGCGAGAAGCCTCGTGCAACCACCCGAGCTTTAAATTTCATGCCCTCTTTAGAAGTGATTCCTTCCTTCTTCTTGTAGATCTACTTGTTTGTAACAATCTTCCTTCCCTGTGGTCGTTTGACTAGCTCCCAAGTCTGATTCCTGTCATGGGATTCCATCTCATCTCCCATTGCGGCAAGCCACTGATCGGCTTCACCACCCGAAACTGCTTCTCTATAGGACTGTGGCTCTCCTGCATCCACTTCCTCAGCAACCTGAAATGAATACGCCACCATGTCCTCGAAGCCATACCTCTGTGGAGGTACTCCTGCAGTCGCTCTCTTTGGTCTACCGGAAGTAATAGACTGTTGAGCTCGTGCACTGGACTCTGAAGTTTCTGGCTTTGCAGAGACATCCTCATCATGTTGATCTTCTCCACCTTGGTGCTCAAACTCACTCTCATTGAGAGTTTGCAGCTCCACCTGTTTATCAACATTCCTGCTACCTTCAACAACAGTAACCTTCAACATGGGGTTAAACATAGACTTCTCATCAAATATCACATTTCTACTAAGTATAACTCGATGCTCAGAAGGTGACCAGACTCGAAATCCCTTAACTCCATCTCCGTAACCCACAAATACACCCTTCTTTGCCCTTGGGTTCAGCTTACCCTCATCCACATGATAATAAACAGGACACCCAAAAACTTTCAGTGAAGAGTAATCAGCAGGCTTACCATACCACACCTCATAAGGAGTCTTACACTCGATACCTGTGTGAGGTCCACGGTTGATCAGGAAGCATGCCATGTTTACTGCTTCTGCCCAGAATCTTCTCTCTAGTCCAGCATTAGAGAGCATGCACCGTGCTCTCTCCAACAATGTCTGGTTCATCCTTTCTGCAACGCCATTCTGCTGGGGTGTATCTCTAACAGTCCGATGACGAGCAATCCCTTCATCCTTGCAGAATTCGTTGAACTCAGAATTGCATAACTCCAGACCATTGTCCGTTCGCAGCTTCTTGATCTTCTTCCCGGTCTGATTCTCCACCAATGTCTTCCACTGCTTGAACTTCGTGAAAGCCTCACTTTTCTGCTTCATCATGAAAATCCAAGTAAATCTCGAATAATCATCAATAATAGACAGAAAATACCTGCTGCCTCCAATGGATTCAACTCGTGAAGGACCCCAACAGTCGGAGTGGAGGTAATCTAGTATCCCCTTCGTCCGGTGGATACCCTTCTTGGGAAACTTGCTGCGATGTAGCTTCCCAAACACACAATGCTCACAGAATTCCAAATTCTGCACCTTGTGCCCGCAAAGAAGATCCCTCTTTGATAGAACTTGCATCCCTCGTTCACTCATATGCCCCAGTCTCATGTGCCAGAGAGTGGTCATATCCTCCTGTTGAACCTGAGACGATGCAACTGCAGCAGAACCAGACAACACAGACCCTTGTAATGCATACAAGGTCCCACGCTTCACGCCCTTCAGCACCTTCCTTGAACCTTTGCAGACATACACAACTCCACCTTTTCCTTTGAAGCTGAAACCCTTGCTGTCGAGTAGACTCAAGGAGATCAGGTTCTTTGTCATTCGTGGAACATGCCTGACATCATTCACGGTACAGAACGAACCATCATGTGTCCGAACCTTTATGGACCCGATTCCAACAACCTTGCAGACAGCTCCATTAGCCATGACCACGTTACCACCATCTATCTGCTCGTAGGTTGTGAAGCAATCCCTGTTCGGAGACATATGATATGTGGCTGCAGTATCCAGAAACCACACATCACCACGATGTGCCTTCTCATCTACAGCCAAGGCGAGATCGTCTTCAGAACTGTTGTCCACTTCTGCCACGGCAACTGAACCTTGTTTCTTCTGTTGCCCTCTTCTCTTGGGACAGTTGTACTTCCAATGCCCCACTTCCTTACAGTTGTGACAAGCATCACCTGGCTGTGGACCGGGACCCTTGGAATTCTTGCTCGAATTCCCTTTATCAGATTTCTTCTTTCCCTTTCCACCTGTAACAGCCAAACCCGATGCCTCACCACCTGTACCAGATCCGGACGCCTTATGTCTGATCTCTCTCGTATGAAGAGCAGACCTGACATCCTCCAACGACACGCTTTCTTTACCAGCAATAAAAGAATCAACAAAGTTCTCATATGAACTCGGCAAAGAAACCAACAGGATTAGGGCAGCATCCTCGTCATCAACTTGAACATCTATATTACGCAGATCCAGCAAAATAGAGTTAAGCTGTTCGAGATGTTCCCTCAAAGGCGTACCTTCTTGCATCCTCAAGCTGAACAACCGTTGCTTGAGATGCAGCTTGTTGGTTAAGGACTTCGTCATATACAGACTCTCCAACTTTAACCACAAGCCCGCGGCAGTCTTCTCAGCAGCAACTTCAATGATGACGTCATCAGACAACGATAGCATGATGGTCGAGTGGGCCTTCTCCTCCAGGGTATTCCACTCATCGTCATCGACCGCTGCCTTCTTCTGTTTCGCAGACAGCGGCCCCCACAGCCCTTGCTGTTTCAATAAAGCCTGCATCTTGATCTGCCATATAGCGAAGCTGTTCTTCCCCGTGAACTTTTCGATCTTCATGTTCACCGACGTCATTCTTCTGAATCGAAAACCCTAGCCTGATTTCCAGCCGCGGCTCTGATACCACTTGTTATAAACGCGCTGCTACGGATCGGGAAATCGCCGGAATCGACAAAGCAAGAATACGAAAGCGAGAATCGAAAGAACACAGACACACGATTTACGTGGTTCACTAACACGATGTGTGTTAGCTACGTCCTACCGGGGCGTTGCCCCTGGACCCCACTCGCTGACCGGGCAGCGAGACCCCCGATTACCAGTCGTAGCGGCTGATAGTCCGATTCAAGTCATATCAACAAACCCAAATTTCTTGCAATCCACATCACATTCATTTCATTCACCTACATCAATGAAATTAACTTGCAATTGCATATATAATTAAATATTATGTTTAAATTACAGAAAATTAAGTAAAAGAGAAAAAAAATATAAAATACAAAATCCTCATTTTTTTAGGCTTTTTTGACTTGCATATGGAATTGCATTTGTTGCAAGCTTGCAAATATGCAATTGGTAGCCATATCAATGCAATTGGTTTTGCAATTGCAAACACCTATGTCATATCATTTTGCAATTGAGAATGCAATACCAATGTGGATGCTCTTAGCTTTATACACAAATACAGGGGAGACAGTTGAGAGATTTGAGGATAGTGTACAATTACATGAGACGTGGGAGAGGTATGGATGAAAAATAAATAAAGAAAAATAAAAAGAATTGTTATTCTTTTTCTTCTTTTCCTCTAATAATCTCATCAGAGAAAGATCACTGCCCTGAGATCAGACTCACGCAAGATAGCAACTAGCAGCGAAGGGTTATTGGGATTTGGGTTGGAAGACGAGCTTTCCAGTGGCGGCGGATGAAAACGAAAATGGCAGTAGCTCTGAGAGGTCAGATTATGATGACGACGAGAATGGTCAACAAGCTGTATTAAAAATTGAATCATCAATTCAGTACCGATTGAATACCTGGAAGGTTACTTTCAAGATGAATTTGATCTCCGCAATTCGAATTTTAGACAATGACCAAATACCATTCCATTTATTGAATGAAACATGAAGCAACCCTAACCAGCCAATTCGAATTTTATATCCACGATCGGTTCGGGACTCTGATATTTAGTCACACTACCAGTACCAACATGCTCTGAACTTTCCCAAACTACAGGTAAACAAAGAAAGCAGCTTACAAAACAACAATGTAACTTGGATATATTCACAATCACATGCGTATCTTCCTCACGCGGCAAGGAGCTTCTTGATGCCAGCCTTCTGCTCTGTGGTTAGCCGTGTGGGGAACCTGATATTGAACTTGACCCTCAAGTTTCCTCTCCTCGAGGGATCTTTAGGGATTGGCATCCCTTCCCTGGAGACAACCTCCTCGTACGTCGGATGAATCACGTTGTTCACAGGAATAGTCAAGCTTCTCCCATCCAAGGTTGTAAGATGGACAGTGTACCCAGTCAGCGCCTCTGCTAACGAGATCTTCTGCGAGACAACCAAGTCATTTCCATCTCGTGTGAACACAGGATGTGGTTTCTCATCAATGATGAAAACGAGGTCAGCGGGAATGATGCCAGGCTGCTCGTTGCCTTTCTCAGGGAACGTGATCTTGGTGCCTTTTTTCCATCCTGGCTTTATATCAATTGTTAGAATCTCTTCCACCTGCATGGATTTGCTGCAACAGATCATATAAAACCAGTTAGTCAGCAACTCTTGACCCTCTACCTCTGAAAGAGCAATTGGGCTTCTAATCTGCTTGAATATGCCAATTGAGCTGGCGATGATATGGACGTACGCATTCCAATACTTAACCAGCAATGCAAAGGAGTTTCAACTGCTCATGATTTCTGAGAAGATAATCTAGAAATGAATACTTCTCTATATTAGAGGTACCCTGCAGCTCCAAGTCGTTTTGATCCACCTATCATTCTTGGTATAAGCCAACATTCCCAATCAACCCCAAAGCCTATATCACAAGAAAATAACCAGGCAGCGACACACAGGTGTGGAACACAAACGTTCAAACCTTAAACAGATCCCCAAAGAGAATGATTTCTAAACCATACTAAACCTTACTTGGAAGTCAGCACCCTGAAGCACAACTCACAAAAGCATGCAGCTGTAAGTTAACATTGATAAACCGACTAGAATGATTCTCTGACTCAGGAACTAAACAGAAATACTCGGTAAGTCTAACACTCAAGGAATGAACTTCTTTTCTTATTTCATATCCAATGCCAACCTACTGCTACTACCAGAAAGGAAAACAGGAGTTCACCGAAAGCAAACACTTTATGATGATCCAAACTTTACAAAACCATACTTTGAAACGAATGTAAGAGAAGCATAACAAAAGATGTATAAGAGAACAAAAAAACATACGAACACCCTGGTTCGGCACTTACCTGCTTACATCAACTATCTCTCTAGAAATCTTCATCTTCTTAGTGGTACCCTTGTAGAGCTCCTCAAGGCTACAAGGAAGTTTATTCTCGATCGGGCCGGCCTTTCTAGGAGCACTTTGGTGCATTGAACCACCTCCTCCTTCACCATACGACCCAAAGATATCATCACCAAAGAAGGCACTAGGAAACCTTGTTCCTCTGCTTCCACCCATCCCTCCAAAGGGGCTTGACTGACCAAAAACCTCGGCGAAGATATCATCAGCGCTACGAGGATTAAATCTGAATGAAGATGGCATCTCTCCGCCGGAGAAGTAAGAAGCTCCACTAGCGGCATTAGGTGGCGGTACTTGACCCTTTAGACCCTCTTCCCCGTATTGGTCATACACTGCCCTCTTCTGAGAGTCGCTGAGAACCTGCATGCAGAAATTAATCAATCAATTCAGAGCAGCTACAGGAAGAGGACAGCATCTCAATGAAGATCCACTAAATACACAAACTTGAGGACCAGATACTAAAAGTAAACAACCGATGAAAAGCGGGAAAGGAGGGGGCAAATTGGATGAGAAAAACTACAGCACCATGTGATAGGTAATCCAGATCATACCCAGATGAAAAGTTGAGACCTTTTCTAGATGGATTCTGAGTGCACGAAGAAATAACAAAATTTAGTACAAACCTCATAAGCCTCGGAGATCTGTTTGAACTTGGCTTCGGCATCCTTCTTATTGGTGGGATTCTTATCAGGATGCCACTTCATGGCGAGCTTCCTGTAAGCCTTTTTCAAATCGTCGTCGCTGGCGCTCCTGTCCACTTGCAATATCTTGTAGTAATCAACTCCCATTGCTCCTTCTAATGAATGCTCTCTCTCTCTCAATTTGCTGCATTCGCGAAATTTGAGAGGAAGACCCCCAAAACCCTTTGCAAAGGGCGAAAATCAGCTCCAAGAAAGCTGCTTCCTTTCCTTGCCACTGGAGTTTGCGTTGATGTTGATTTTGTTGTGTTGTGCTGGGGCGTTTGCTTGCGTTTGGTGAAAATGAAGTATGGCGCTGATGATTTGAGAAACCGGGCGAAGCTTCTGGAAATAACCCACCAACCACTCTGTATTCCATTTTGAGTTTTGAGTTTTGACTCGTGTTCTTCTCTTTCTTTATACTTGCTCGACCACGAGTTTTTCTTGTTTTACGGTTTCAACTATAGGTGTCAATCGGGTGGGTTCGGGCTGGGTTCAATCGGATTCGGGTTCAAACGGGTTGCATGTTAGTCGGGTTGCGGGTTCATCAGGTTCGGGTTCATCGGGTTCGGGTTCAAACGGGTTGCGGGTTAGTCGGGTTGCGGGTTCATCGGGTTCGGGTTCAATCGGGTTGCGGACAAATCGGGTTGCGGGTTCATCGGGTTTTGGGTCGGGCGGATTGCGGGCGGATCGGGTTTCGGGTTGTTCGGGCCAGCGCATCAAGTAACTTAACTCATTACTCATTACCAACTTACACATTGTATTACACTAATTTAAAATATTTTCTGAACTTTTTAACCAATTTATTTCTACCTCGTATATATATACTTTTTTTTTTAAAAAAAACTAGTCAAAATGTTAAATCAATTTGTATGACTTGCAAACTTGTTATGTAATTAATCATAATTGGTAAAGTATTATAGCTAATAGTAATGGTGATATCAATATTTGCAACCAAAAGACACCATTAATTGTTTATTTGATATTTTAGTATTAATTCAGTAGTAATTGGATAAAGTATCTCGTTAAATATAACCATGCAAATCTGGTATTTGGCGTGTGGTATTTGGCAAAAGCATAGTGATAAAAGGAGTTATTTCGAAATAACTCATTGCCCAAATAACTTCAGTAAACTGTTGCCAAACGAGTTATTTGTAAAATTGTTCGAATTATCCTAAAAATTGAACCATTAAAGATTAGCTATCAAATTTAGTAAAATTATTGTGACTTCAATCATAACTTACTCAATAGCATATATCATATACACTTAGCCTTACCCTCAATCAACAACATTAAGTTAGTATATGTTGTTGATTGTATACCCTAAACCAGGGTAGTTATCATAAATGGTCATAAAACTATTCACTTTGTACAAAATGGTTACAAATCTTTAATTTTGCACGTTTCAGTAATAAATGTTTGGACTAATAACAAAAAGGTAATTCCGTCCATCTCCATCCAAAATTCCGTTAGTTTGGTCCAATCAACTGCCATCTCAGCATCCACATCATCAAAATAATTAATAAAACATAAAATAAAAACCAATCAAACCTTAACCAACCCACCACCCCAATCCCTAGCTACAACCTGTAGCAGGCCAAAATCGACATCTAGCTCAACGAAATCAACCGAGCCAAAAACCAATTCCGGATGTCCACGGGCGAGAAAACCTGCTCAACCTTCGAGGTCGTCGCCGCCAGCCTCTTGAGGCACAGATCCGCCGCGATCGGTCTCCACTCGAACGCGGAGGTGCAGCTCGTGTTCTTCGCGAACTGCCGCCAACTGCTGGACCCTTCGCTCCCCGACGGCTACTACGGGAACTGCTTCTTCCTGGTCAAGGTCACGGCCTCGATTGGATCCCGAACAGCGGGGGCGGTAGCCGGCGCGATTGGATTTATACAGGTAGTGAAGGGAGGCTCGGAATGGAGTATCACCATCATTTATGCTTTCACAATTTTCAATCTCTGTGCGAGATTGTTTCCCTTCATAAATATTTGTTGGTCTCCCTTTAATTCAGTCTTTGCCTCCTTCCCCTTCATGTCCCATCTTCTCTTTTGGCTTTCCAATCCACTTTCCAATCCCCAACGGTGGCGCCACCAACGACGCGTCGCCTACCACCGCAGATAGAGAATCAAAGCATAAATGGTGGGTTGGTTAGGGTTTGATTGGTTTTTATTTTATTTTTATTAATTATTTTACTGATGTGGACGCTGACGGGGCAGCTGATTGGATCAAACTAACAGAATTTTGGATGGAGATGGACGGAATTACCTTTTTGTTATTAGTCCAAACATATGTTACCGAAATGTGCAAAATTAAAGGTTTGTGACCGTTTTGTACAAAGTGAATAATTTTGTTACCATTTATGATAACTACCCCCCTAAACCATCAATACATTATACACTAACCACATAACCTATACCCTATACCCTAACCATATGTCTTTGAGTTGTGATTTTGCTAGTATAGTTAATTTAAAAGTGAAATTCATACTTTGATTTTCAAAACATAGATAAAAAGTTATATTTGCTAATTGTTATACCCTAACCATATATCCTATACTTTACACCACATACCTTGTATCCTAACCACGTACCATAAACATAAATTAAAAAGGGATTTCCTGCCGTTAAAGACTTCAAATGACTTCAAGTGAACATATGTTAATAAAAAACTTGGAACCGTCAAAACCATCAATAATTTATACCCTAACCATATACACCCTAAGCCATATGTACCTTATACCCTAACCATATACTCTATATCCTAAACAACGAACCGTCAAAGATTACTTATCAAGTTTAGTATAAATTGTTGTAACTAATGGTTAATTTATTTATTAGCCCATAAACAATTACATACATATATATTAGCCTTCAAAGCATATAAGAATAATTTTAACTAGTCATGCCCTCCATATAAAAGTTAAATATTCATATTTCAAAAGCTAAAATTATGAAAAACCAAAAAATTGAAAATACCAAATGTGTTTCCTTCTTTCTTTTCACAAAAATACTAAAATTTCCCTCTTTCTTTCTACTTCCATACATTAGAAAACTCACTTTTCCCTCCTCTTTCTCTTCCATAAAATTGAAAGAACCAAATTACCCTCTTCTTTCCTTCTACAAAAAGTTGAAAACTCAAATGTTTCCCTCCTTATTTCTCTTTCATAATCAAAAGAATCAAACTTTCCCACTTCTTTCTCTTCCCACATATCAAAACCACCAAAATTCACACTTGTTTCTTTTCTAAAAAATTCAAAGAACCAAATTTCCCTCTTCTTTCTCTTCCCAAAAACTTGAATACACCAAAATTTCCCTCTTCATTTAAAAACATCAAATTACCAAATACATTACTTTACGTTATTTATATTTAATTGATAATTTTATTGAATAGTTAAATTAACCAAAATTTTAATTTATATATTAAATTAATATTGTCATGATCTCAAGTGACCTTCATGTTTCAATTTTTGTAATTTTCTTAAAATACGTAATATCAAGTGAGTTTCATATTTTTTAAATTTCCTATACGAAACGAAAAAATAATTTTACTTAAGTTTAGAATGAAAAACTTTATTTTGAAAAACTATGTATTGTATATTTTTATAATTATTCAAGTGGATTATATGAAATTCGGGTTGAGTCGGTCGGGTTACGGGTTAGTCAGGTTCGGGTCAATCGGGTTAGGGTTAATCGGGTTGCGGGTCAGTCGGATTGAGGGTCAATCGGGTTTGAGTTAATCGAGTTGCGGGTCAGTCGCGTTGCGGGTTAATTGGGTTGCGGGTCAATCGGGTTGCGGGTCGGGCGGGTTACGGGTTGTTGACTTTTAGTCAATTCGGGCTGCGGTCGGGTTGCGGATCGGGTTGATCGGGCGGGTTAATCGGGTCGGGCTATGTTTTGACACCTATAGTTTCAACCGGGCTTAATCCCCATTTTGCTCTATTTACTGATTTACAATTAGGAATGACAATGGGCTGGTCTGGGGCGGGTATTTCGATACTTATATCCGCCCCATGATAGGTTGGGTTCAGGTTGGGTAATTATCACGGGGCGTGGGTCGGGGCAGGTCGACCCATTGGGTATGTAATTTATGCGAAAAACATTAGAAACATTCGTTATTTTCATTAAAAGACCAAGAAAGAAACCATAATATGATAAAATGTAGTTAAATTATTGAAGAAATTGAGGTTTTCACTTATTTACAACTTTATTATAGCTAAAATCTAATGTAATAAGAGGAAAGTCCTAAGTAATTTGACTAAGATTATATGTAATATAGGCAAGAGCACTATCACAAATCCTCCCAATGGAATCCTCAATGACAGACAAGCCATCTTGCACAATTAAGTTTAGTATGTGTGCAGCACAACGCATATGAAATAGAGTACCATTTAGTAGCAATGTATCTTCATGCAACTTTCCTAAAAGAGCTATAATCATAGCATCGTTAGTACTGCAATTATCCACTGTCACTGTTGATACTTTTCTCTGAATCTTCCACTCTGTCATACAATCCAGTAATGTATCATAGAGAACATCCTTGGTATGTGGAGAAGGAACATAGATAAAATTCAAAATTCTACTCTCAAGAACCCAAGCATCATTAATAAAGTGGCCAGTAACGACCATGAACCCTCTTTTCTTATTACTTGAAGCCCACATATCATTAGTTATCGCCACCCTACTGCTGATTTTTTCCAACTCATGCATTACATTCATCTTCCCCTCTTTAAATATCTTTAAAATATCACTCTTGATTGTATTTCTACATACCATTTGAAACAGCGGCTGAAGAGAATATATAAATCTTCTAAAACCAACATAATCGACAACCGATAGAGGAAATTCATGGAGAACAATCATACAAGCAAGCTCTCTTCTACTAGTTTCTTGGTAAAAAACAACAGGACTCGAACTCCCCATACCGATTTTCCTTTTCTTACTACCCAAAAGTCCACTCACCATGACTGGATCAGCATGTTTTACTAGACATTTAAACAAGTGATTGCGCAAATGAGAAGTTCCTGAGTTGGATTCAGCAACAAGCTTTTTATGGCAATGTTTGCATTCAGCTTTTCTTAACCCATTAATCATAACTCGATCATATTCCTTCCATACCTCAGACCACTGCTTTGTAGAAGACCATGCCATACGACTAGAAGACACACTATGTTGGTCTGGATTACTACTCTCATGATTCATTGAGAGATTATCATCATTAGTTTCTAAAGCCATATTTCCCTAGAAATACCAAACAAGCAATCATTCAAACTAGTGAAACAGCCCAATCATTCAACGAAACAGAGATTACAGTAAACTATATATTTCTAGTTCTAACTTCTAACTCTTTCAACTTTTAGAACCAGA